CCCAAACAGGATAGAAAACAGAGCATCCAAAACCAAACAGGATACAAAACAGAGCATCCAAAACCAAACAGGATACAAAACAGAGCATCCAAAACCAAACAGGATACAAAACAGAGCATCCAAAACCAAACAGGATACAAAACAGAGCATCCAAAACCAAACAGGATACAAAACAGAGCATCCAAAACCAAACAGGATACAAAACAGAGCATCCAAAACCAAACAGGATAGAAAACAGAGCATCCAAACCCAAACAGGATAGAAAACAGAGCATCCAAAACCAAACAGGATACAAAACAGAGCATCCAAAACCAAACAGGATACAAAACAGAGCATCCAAAACCAAACAGGATACAAAACAGAGCATCCAAAACCAAACAGGATACAAAACAGAGCATCCAAAACCAAACAGGATAGAAAACAGAGCATCCAAAAACAAACAGGATACAAAACCAAGATTTTTACTTCCCACTGAAGTAAAATCTGCTCCATCCCTCCTATCGTTTAGGAAGAAATTGAAGTTGTGGTTCTGTGACCAGGCTTTTGGACAACAGACATAGATAGCACTTTGGATATGGAATAGACTCAAATGTTTTAATGAATGTTTTACTAATTGTTTTAATTGTTATTATATTGCTCTGTTATATGTAGTGGCATTGAATTGCTGCCAAATGTAAGCCGTCCTGAGTCCCCCTTCGGAGCTTGAGAAGGAACGGGATAGAAAAATTGGAAATAAATAATAAATAAATAAACAGTTCCGGCCCAGGTTACCGTTTATTTATTACCGTCCAAACGTATCTTCCCCTACGAACCATTAAAGACTTTAAGATCTTCCAGGGAGGCCCTGCTCTTGATCCCACCGCCTTTGTAATCGCGTCTGGTGGGGACAAGAAACAGGGCCTTCTCCATAGTGGCCCCCCGTCTTTGGAACTCTCTTCCCAAAGAGGTTAGATCTGCTCCCTTCCTCCTGATCTTCCAGAAGAAACTGAAATCTTGGCTATGGAATCAGGCGTTTGCAGATTAGATGGACTGCACTTGTGAAGACAAAGATTTTATGGACCGCAATTTTGGATTGAGCTGGATGATGTTTTTAACTTGGCGCACTGTTTTTAATGTTTATTTATAATTATTTTATTATGTATATGGTTATTTTATTATGTGATTACATTGTATGGCATGAAATTGTTGCCTGATGGAAGCCGTTCTGAGTCCCTCTTGAAGTGGATGGGGTTTAAATGTTCTAAATAAATAAATAAATAAATACGCTAGCATAACGTTAAGTGTGATGTGTCCAGGGGCGGCTCGTCCATTACGCGAAGTAAGCGGTCACAGAACACTTTTTCTTTTGCCACAGGCGCCTCTGTAAATGCCCCTCGACTGCCACTTGAGGAGCGCCCCCTCAGCTCACAAAGCCCTAGCAGTCTGGGGGGAGCCTCGGCTTTCTTGCCTCGCTCCAAAGGGGCTGGGCCCTTGAGCCTCGCCTAGCCCCTCTAATTTCTGCTCCACCCAGCCACCGGGTGCTCAATCGTTTTCCGCGTTCGATCCCTTCCCCATGACCAGCTCCCTTTCCAGATCCCCCGGCGCTCCACCCGCCTCCTCTCCTCTCCCCAATCCGCTGGTGGGCCGAGGGGCGGAGCCGCCACCGCCTGGCCCGCTTCGGGTCCGGAGGCGTGTCTGAAGACCCCAGCGTGCGCACCCAAAGTCGCCTCTTCTCCTGACTTTCTCTTCAGCCATTGGGACCAAGAGAGAGAGAGAGAGAGAGAGAGCCCCTCCGGCTGGAGATATCTCCCACCTCCGCTCCCTCCTTTGTTTTTGCGCCTACCTTCAGGAAAGGTGGGCATCTCCACCTCTGTCTCTCTCTCTCTCTCTCTCTTGGTCCCAATGGCTGAGGAGAAAGTCAGGAGAAGAGGTGACTTTTGGTGCACACGCTGGGGTCTTCAGGCACGCCTCCGGACCCAAAGCGGGCCAGGCAAGGGAGCAAGTGCGGCAAGTGTAGTTACTGGGATGTATAGTTCACCTACAATCAAAGAGCATTCTGAACTCCACCAATGATGGAATTGAACCAAATATGGCACACAGAACTCCCACGACAAACAGAAAATATATATCAATGATTGGTTGGGGGGGGGGCAAAATACTGTTTGTACCGTTGAAAATTACCTAGGGCCGCCTCTGGATGTGGCTGTAAAGAATGCAGAGCTTAAGAGGCAAACATGCAGAGTTTGATCTTTAAAAATCACAAAAGGTTTATTTACAACAATAAGAGATAACCACATTTCTGAATAGTCAAGAACTAGGTCTCAGCTACTCTAACACCCATCTCTTCTAAGGTTTCAAAGGGGGGTGGGGCACCAATCACTACATCTCTCTGACACACAAGCAGAGAGAGATCTCAAAGCACACAGCACATACTGTCAGATTAAAAAAAAGGCTTGCAGTCGGAAAGTATCCATTGTAAACAACCAATCGGAATTAGAGCAGAAACAGAGAGAAGAAATAGATACATTTCCAAACGTCATACAGGAGGCATTTATTTATTTCCAGTATTTATATTCCTAGGTTCTTGTGGGTTTTTTCGGGCTATAGAGCCATATTCCAGAGGCATTTTCTCCTGACGTTTCGCCTGCATCTATGGCAAGCATCTTCAGAGGTAGTGAGGTCTGTTGGAACTAGGAAAAGGGTTTATATATCTGGAATGACCAGGGTGGGGCAAAGAGCTCTCTTGTGAAGCTAGGTGTGAATGTTTTAACTGACCACCTTCATTAGCATTTGAAGGCCTGGCTGAGCCTGGGAAAATGTTTTGTTGAGAGGTGTTAAGATGTGCCTGGTTGTTTCCTCTCTGCTGTTTTGCTGTTGTAATTTTAGAGTTTTTTAATACTGGTAGCCAGATTTTGTTCATTTTCATGGTCTCTTCCTTTCTGTTGAAATTGTCCACATGCTTGTGGATTTCAATGGCTTCTCTGTGTAGTCTGGCATGGTGGTTGTTGGTGTGGTCCAGCATTTCTGTGTTCTCAAACAATATGCTGTGTCCAGGCTGGTTCATCAGGTGCTCTGCTATGGCTGACTTCTCTGGTTGAAGTAGTCTGCAGTGCCTTTCATGTTCCTTGATTCGTGTTTGGGCAATGCTGCGTTTGGTGGTCTCTCTGTAGACTTGTCCACAGCTGCATGGTACACGGTAGACTCCTGCAGAGGTGAGAGGATCCCTCTTGTCCTTTGCTGAACGTAGCATTTGTTGGATTTTCTTGGTTGGTTTGTAGATTGTTTGTATGTTGTGTTTCCTCATCAGCTTCCCTATGCGGTCAGTGGTTCCCTTGATGTATGGCAGGAACACTTTTCCTCTGGGTGGATCTTCATCTTTACTCTCGTGGCTTGTTCTTGGTCTTGCAGCTCTTCTGATGTCTGATACCATGCAGCTGTGGACAAGTCTACATAGGGACCACCAAACACAGTGCCCAGGCTCAGCCAGGCCTTCAAATGCTAATGAAGGTGGTCAGTTGAAACATTCACACCTAACTCCAGCAGAGAAGAGCTCTTTGCCCCACCCCAGCCATTCCACAGATATATAAATCCATTGTCCTAATTCCAACAGACCTCACTACCTCTGAGGATGCTTGCCATAGATGCAGGCGAAACGTCAGGAGAAATGCCTCTAGAACATGGCCCTATAGCCCGAAAAAACCCACAAGACCCTAGTGATTCCAGCCATGAAAGCCTTCGACAATATAATAATAATAATAATAATAATAATAATAATAATAATAATAGTGGGTTAAACCTTGTGCTGGCAGGACTGACAGTCACAGGTTCGAATCCGGAGAGTGTGGATGAGCTCCCTCTGTCAGCTCCAGCTCCCCATGCGGGGACATGAGAGAAGCCTCCCACAAGGATGGTAAAACATCAAAACATCCGGGCGTCCCCTGGGCAACGTCCTTGCAGACAGCCAATTCTCTCACACCAGAAGCGACTTGCAGTTTCTCAAGTCACTTCTGACACGACAAAATAATAATAACAAAAAAAAAAAACCCAGCAAGGCAAATGTTGGTAAAATCAAGGTTTGCTATTTGGATGTTTGATTGATTGCTTTTTGGATGTTTGATTGGAATATTTTCAAGCTGTGGATGGTTGAATGAATAAGGAGGTCTGACTGCATTTCATATTATTAATACACCTTTGCCTTAGGACAGTGTTTCTCAAACTGGGAGTCGGGAACCTTGGGGGATCGCAAGGGGGTGTCAGAGGAGTCTCCAAAGACCATCGAAAACACAGTATTTTCTGTTGGTTGTGGGGCTCTGTGTGGGAAGTTTGGCCCAATTCTATCATCGGTGGGGCTCAGAATGCTATTTGATTGTAGAGGAACTATAAATCCCAGCAACTACAACTCCTAAACATCAAGGTCTATTTTCCTCAAACTCCACCAGTGTTCACATTTGTGCCCAATTTGGTCCAGATCCATCATTGCTTGAGTCTACAGTGTTCTCTGGATGTAGGTGAACTACAAGTCCAAAACTCAAGGTCAATGTCCATCAAACCCTTCCAGTACTTTCTGTTGGTATGGGAGTTCTGTGTGGGAAGTTTGGTTCAATTCCAACGGTGTGGGAGTTCAGAATGCTCTTTGATTGTAGGTGAATTATAAATCCCAGCAACTACAACTCCCAAATGACAAAATCAACCCCCTCCCCAACCCCACCAGTATTGAAGTTTGGGCGTATTGGGTATTTGTGCCAAATTTGGTCCAGTGAATGAAAATACATCCTGCATATCAGATATTTACATGACGATTCATAACAGTAGCAAAATGACAGTTGTGAAGTAGCAATGAAAATAATGTTATGGTTGGGGGTCACCACAACATGAGGAACTGCATTAAGGGGTTGGGTCATTAGGAAGGTAGAGAAACACTGGTATAGATGGATATACATAGTGGTTAGAGGCTGGCAGGTTACGGGATCCCAGCCTGTGCAAAGGATTTTATGCTAACCAGAGTTTCTGTTTCCTTACAGATTCCTCAGGGGACACAAGTTACTCAGACATCCATCTGATGCACACAACTGTGACAACAATGAACTGTCTTCTTTACCAAAAACCAGCAGTATAAGGTCCATCTGACTCAGACCCTGCAGAACTATTGCTTGAAATCTACGGAAAGTAAGTCAAATTAACCATGTAAATATTGCCTTAATCCTTTTGTAACGATTTTGGGGCATCAGTGAGGTTGAGTATGATAAAAAGCTGACGTTGTTCAACAAGAAGATCAGATATGTAAATAAATGTATTCTATATAAATAAAACTGCTCCAACTTCCGTACAGTGGCCCTTATTTCTCATGCCAGTAAGGTAATGCTCAAGATCCTGCAAGGAAGACTCCAGCAATACATGGAGCGAGAGTTGCCAGATGTTCAGGCTGGGTTTAGAAAAGGCAGAGGAACGAGAGACCAGATTGCCAATATCCGCTGGATAATGGAGAAAGGCAGGGAGTTTCAGAAAAACATCTACTTCTGCTTCATTGACTATTCTAAAGCCTTTGACTGTGTGGATCATAATAAATTGTGGCAAGTTCTTGGTGGGATGGGCATCCCAAGCCCCCTTCCCTCTCTCCTGAGGAATCTGTACAAGGACCAAGGAGCAACAGTCAGAACTGACCACAGAACAGGAGACGGGTTCAAGATTGGGAAAGGCGTACGGCAAGGCTGCATCCTCTCACCCAACCTTTTTAACTTGTATGCAGAACACATCATGCGAGGATGTGCGGGGCTGGATGAATGCAAAGCTGGGGTGAAAATTGATGGAAGAAACATTAACAACCTCAGATATGCAGATGACACCACTCTGATGGCCGAAAGCGAGGAGGAGCTGAGGAGCCTTCTAATCAAGGTGAAAGAAGAAAGCGCAAAAGCCGGGTTGCAGCTAAACATCAAAAAAACAAGATTATGGCAACAAGAATGATTGACAACTGGGAAATAGAGGGAGAAAATGTGGAGGCCGTGACAGACTTTGTATTTCTAGGTGCAAAGATGACTGCAGATGCAGACTGTGGCCAGGAAATCAGGAGACTCTTCCTTCTTGGGAGGAGAGCAATGTCCAGTCTCGATAAAATAGTAAAGAGTAGAGACATCACACTGGCAACCAAGATCCATTGCCTAGTCAAAGCCATGGTATTCCCTGTAGTCACCTACGGACGTGAGAGCTGGACCTTCGGGAAGGCTGAGTGAAGGAAGAGAGACGCTTTTGAACTGTGGTGTTGGAGGAAAGTTCTGAGAGTGCCTTGGACTGCGAGAAGATCCAACCAGTCCATCCTCCAGGAAATAAAGCCCGGCTGCTCACTGGAGGGAAGGAGACTAGAGGGAAAGTTGAAGTCCTTTGGCCACATCATGAGGAGACAGCAAAGCCTAGAGAAGGGAACGATGCTGGGGAAAGTGGAAGGCAAAAGGAAGAGGGGCCGACCAAGGGCAAGATGGATGGATGGCATCCTTGAAGTGACTGGACTGACCTTGAAGGAGCTGGGGGTGGTGACGGCAGACAGGGAGCTCTGGCGTGGGCTGGTCCATGAGGTCACGAAGAGTCGGAGATGACTGAACGATTGAACAACTGTCAAACTATATAAATAAAAATGTAATGTTCGTTTGTGGGATTAACATAACTCAAAAACCACTGGATGAATTGACACCAAATTTGGACACAATACACCTCTCAGGCCAACAAGTGACCATCACTCATAAAAACACTGAAAAACACAGCAGAAGGGACTTAAATAAAAATATAAAAGCAAAAAGTTGCCACAGCGCATGTGAAAAAAGACAAAACACACAAGAGCATATCCACACCCTCTTCTGGACTACAGCTCCCAGCATCCCCTAGAGTAGGAGTCCTCAAACTTTTTAAACAGAGGGCCAGATCACAGTCCCTCAAACTGTTGGAGGGTTGGATTATAATTTGACAAAAAAAAATGAATGAATTCATATATACACTACACATATCTTATTTCCGTCCTGGGCCCGGTCCTGTTCAACATCTATTAATGACTTAGATGAAGGGTTAGAAGGCAGGATCATCAAGTTTGCAGACGAGACCAAATTGGGAGGGAGAGCCAAGACTCCAGAGGACAGGAGCAGGATCTTGACAGATGAGAGAGATGATGGGCCAAAACTAACACAATGAAGTTCAACAGCGACAAATGCAAGATACTCCACTTTGGCAGAAAAAACGAAATGCAAAGATACAGAATGGGAGACGATGCCTGGCTGAGAGCAGTATGTGTGAAAAAGATCTTGGAGTCCTCGTGGACAACAAGTTAAACATGAGCCAACAATGTGATGTGGCGGCAAAAAAAGCCAATGGGATTTGGCCTGCATCAATAGGAGCCTAGTGTCTAGATCTAGGGAAGTCATGCTCCCCATGCTCTATTCCGCTTTGGTTAGACCACACCTGGAATATTGTGTCCAATTCTGGGCACCACAATGCAAGAGAGATATTGACAAGCTGGAATGTGTCCAGAGGAGGGCGACTAAAATGATCAAGGGTCTGGAGAACAAGCCCTATGAGGAGCGGCTTAAGGAGCTGGGCATGTTTAGCCTGCAGAAGAGAAGGCTGAGAGGAGATATGATAGCCATGTATAAATATGTGAGAGGAAGCCACAGGGAGGAGGGAGCAAGCTTGTTTTCTGCTTCCTTGGAGACTAGGACGCGGAACAATGGCTTCAAACTACAAGAGAGGAGATTCCATCTGAACATGAGGAAGAACTTCCTGACTGTGAGAGCCGTTCAGCAGTGGAACTCTCTGCCCCGGAGTGTGGTGGAGGCTCCTTCTTTGGAAGGTTTTAAACAGAGGCTGGATGGCCATCTGTCAGGGGTGCTTTGAATGCAATATTCCTGCTTCTTGGCAGAATGGGGTTGGACTGGATGATGGCCCAGGAGGTCTCTTCCAACTATTTGATTCTAGGATTCTATGAAAAAAGCAAAAAGATGCTACAGAGCATGTGTAAAAAGACTCCCCCGGCAAACAAAACACACAATAGCATATCCACACCCTCTTCCAGACTACAGCTCCCAGCATCCCCTAGAGCAGGAGTCCTCAAACTTTTTAAACAGAGGGCAGATCACAGTCCCTCAAACTGTTGCCGGATTATAATTTGGAAAAAAAAAGAATTCCAATACACACTGCACATATCTTATTTGTAGTGCAAGAAAACACTTTAAAACAATACAATAATTAAAATGAAGAACAATTTTAACAAATATAAATTTATTAGTATTTCAATGGGAAGTGTGGGCCTGTTTTGGCTGATCAGATAGGATTGTTGTTGTCGCTTCTGGTGTGAGAAAATTGGCCCTCTGCAAGGACGTTGCCCAGGGGACGCCTGGATGATTTTGATGTTTTTATCATCCTTGTGGAGGCTTCTCTCATGTCCCCGCATGAGGAGCTGGAGCTGATAGAGGGAGCTCATCCTCTCCCCGGATTCGAACCTGTGACCTGTTGGTCTTCAGTCCTGCCGGCACAGGGGTTTAACCCACTGCGCCACCAGGGGTTTTGGCTGATGTTGTTGATGTTGTTGTTGTTGTTGTGTGCTTTCAAGTCGTTTCAGACTTAGGTTGACCCTGAGTAAGGGCCGGGTAAATGACCTTGGAGGGCCGTATCTGGCCCCCGGGCCTTAGTTTGAGGACCCCTAGAGTCTACTGAACAAGCCAGTACCTGCCGCATACCAGTACTGCCATCTGTTGAGGAGCTATGAAGGTGGAGGCATTACTTTTCATTCAACCCTCGTACTTTGGTAATTCATAATTGTTTTATGCACAGGGAAATATAGAAGCTTTTAGAGCATTTTAATCTGCCAAACCCATGTTATATTTTGCATATAGTTGTACAGCTAGGATTCAACCAAGGGAAAGAGTGGGTGCAACGTGCAGACAATCGACAAGCACACCTGCAATCCGCCAAGAGATTAACAATGAGATTAAAAGTCGGAAGTCATCATCATCATCATTTAATAACTTATTAATCACCCTCCATCCGAGAATGCTCTAGGCGATTTACAGCTAAATTATAAAAGATAAAATACATACATACAAAAATTAAAAATCAACAGAGATTGAATGCTCTAGTAAAAAGCCAGGTCTTAAGTGAGAGAGTAAAAGGCCCTCAGTCCCGCATGGCTCTCATGTAGGGCGGCAAGGAATCCCACAATAAGGCAGGGGCAGAAAGAGAGAAAGCCCACCTGCGCCTGGTCCTTTCCAAGGGCACTTCTCTAGGACCCGGTATATGGAGTAAGTCGCGTTGGGCTGGTCGTTGCGACCTCCGATGATGGGAGAAGGAGAGGCGGTCCCTAAGGTACGATGGACCCTGGCCGTAAAGAATTTTAAAGGTCAGAACTAACATCTTATACAGGCCACGGTACTTAGTTGGAAGCCAATGTAAATGTTGCAGCACTGGTGTTATATGGCATTTCATGGGCATTCTTGTGAGTAACCTGGCTGCCGCATTCTGAACAATACGGAGCTTTCGGGTCGTAGACATTGGAAGGCCAACATACAGGGCATTGCAATAGTCCAGCCTAGACGTGACTGTGGCATGGATGACAGTTGCCAGAGCCTCGTCAGATAGGTAGGGTGCCAGTTGCCTCGCTTGTCGTAGATGGAAAAAGGCCTGTTTGCTGGCAGCAGTGACCTGAGCTTCCATTGTCAGCTGTGAATCCAGGATGACACCCAAGCTCTTAACAGTGGTCGATGGAGATAGGGCGGCACCATCGAAGGTGGGCAACGGAGGAGTCAGACCTGCCAGGCGGCCATGCCAGAGAATCTCAGTCTTTGCCGGGTTCACCTTCAGTCTGCTAGCACGTAGCCAGTTCGACAGAGCTTCCAGACATAGAGTGAAATTTAGGGCTCGGCGGTTTCGTTTCGTAATTTCGTAATTCGTCAAAAATTCGTTATTTTTTTTATAACGAAGTGATATTGAACCATTCAGGAGCATCTAAAAAACAAAACGAATTTTTCAATTCGTTTCGTAATTGCTTCGTATTCGTTTCGAATCGTTTCGAAATCGTTTCGTTATTATTTCCGCATGTCTGGGGCAAGTTTTATAGCTGTTGTTTGTTTAATCAGTGAAAAAATTATAAATATCACACCAACAGTCAACAACAGAGGGAGAGGGAAGCTTCAGAAGTTCCCCCTGTCCCATATGGAGGTTTTTTAGTGTATTGCGCGGTCGCGTCCGACATTAACGAATCGATTCGTATTCGTTTCGTATTTGTTTCGTATTCGTTTCGTAATTTTACGAAATTTCGTAAATATCGAACTTTTTAAAAGAAAAATTTCGGAATTCTTTTAAATATCGAAACGCAAAAACCCCAAAAAACGAATCGAGTTTATTTTTCTGTGGTTGCCCAGCCCTAGTGAAATTGTCTGGAATTGAGGTTGCTCCAGGCTCCAGGCGCAGAAGGAGTTGGGTATCGTCTGCATGTTGAAGAGGAGAGAGAATTGCACCTTGGGGTACCCCACATAGGAGGGGGGATCTATCGGAGACTTGATCCATGTACTCCACGCATTGACTCCGGTTCCGGAGAAATGAGTTGAACCAATTGAGGGCCTGACCACGAACTCTGGACATGGCAAGATGGTGTCAAACGCTGCGGTAAGGTCGAGAAGTACCAATAGCGCGGATCCACCGTTGTCAGACTGGCGACGGAATTCATCCATAATGGCAACCAGGACTGTCTCTGTCCCATGACCTGGGTGGAAACCTGACTGGAAAGGGTCCAGGCCAGCTGTGTCATCCAGGAATTGCTGCAATTGTCCCAGTACAGCCCGCTCTATCACCTTGCCTAAGAATGGCAGATTAGAAACAGGACGGTAATTGGCAAGTTCATAGGATCCAAGCTAGGTTATAGTCTCGAGCCATTCAGCGTGATGGTAATTTCATGTAACAGAATGCTCTCAGAACCATCCCTTGAGGAAAATTGCATAATCTTTATTTTATTTGAACGATAATCAGATGGTGCATTGAACGTTGTGAATGGCTCCCCCCCCCCCAATTGATTTGTTTTCCTCTTTAATTTTAACCATCTTGGTCCTGACTCCTGAGCAGCCTCCCTCCACTCCTCCGTTACTACTATCTATTGTGATCTATCTCTGCACAAATCTCTTTGAGCCTGTGGAGCGGTGCGCAGCTGGGAGCCTTTCTGCCATGTGTGGCTACAAATCACAGAAGCACATCAATCCAGACAAAGAGCGCCTGCTTCCCAGGGAGGAGCGGAATTGTTTCTCCTGCTTGGACCCCATGCTCTTCAAGCAAGTGGAGAAGAGCGAGCAATCAAGAGCCGTAATCAGGCGTCAGGGCTTCACAATGTTTTGAAGCACAAATACTTCCAAATGCAGTAAACACTCCAGTGCCTCCGGTAGTCACAGGTCCCATTGTTCCCTTCAGGAAAACAGCTTTCTTTGGAATATCCCCCCCCCCCAATCTTTCTTTCTGAGATACAGCATTTAGTTTTTGTCCAATTTCAATCTGTGCCATGTGTATAATGGCCAGGAAATTGCTTTGCACAATGTATGGTTTGTATTTGGTGAAACAACAGTTGCCACCTGTTGCTGAGTGAAGTGGAGGCCGTAATTCCTCCTCCTATGTCTCACCAAATCGAATGCTCCGAATGGCTTGTTTAGCTCAGCGGTCAATAGAGGCCATCTAGAAGAATCACACAGCCATCCACGTGTTGCTGAACGGAAAATGGAATGTGAAAGCCAAAACCAAGGTCACAACAACATCTGTCATAGTATGTTGATGACAACGTCGTCTATGCACATTCAGAAGAAGACCCACAAGCCATTCTAAACACCCTCGCAGAAGCATACAAGAAGCTTGGACTGTCATTGAGAAAACCGAAGTGCTCTTCCACTACTACAGGAGTTTTAGGACAGTGATTAGTAACTATTTGTGTATTTTCCTGTTTTTTTCTTTTACTGTTGATATGGTCAGTGGACTAATCAATCATCTTTACCCCTCTCCAAAGTGCTCTTCAAGCAGTCATAGAATCATAGAATCAAAGAGTTGGAAGAGACCTCCTGGGCCATCCAGTCCAACCCCATTCTGCCAAGAAGCAGGAATATTGCATTCAAATCACCCCTGACAGATGGCCATCCAGCTCTGTTTAAAAGCTTCCAAAGAAGGAGCCTCCACCACACTCCGGGCAGAGAGTTCCACTGCTGAACAGTAGGCCTGGGTAACAACGGAAAAATTTGTTTCTAAAATCGTTTCGTTTTTTGGGGGTTTTGCGTTTCGATATTTAAAAGAATTCCGAAATTTTTCTTTTAAAAAGTTCGATATTTACGAAATTTCGTAAATGACAGAAATTACGAAACAATTACGAAACAATTACGAATCGATTCGTTAATGGTGGACGTGACCGCGCAATACGCTAAAAAAACCTCCAAATGGGACAGGGGGAACTTCTGAAGCTTTCCTCTCCCTCTGTTGTTGACTGTTGGTGTGATAATTATATTTTTTTTCACTGATGAAACAAACAACAACTATAAAACTTGCACCGGACATGCGGAAATAATAACGAAACGATTTCAAAACGATAACGAAACGAATGCAAAAATGAATCCGAAGCAATTACGAAACGAATTTAAAAATTCGTTTCATTTTTTAGTTGCTCCTGAATGGTTCGTTATCGCTTCGTTATAAAAAAATAACAAAATTTTAACGAATTACGAAATTACGAAACGAAACCGCCCAGCCCTACTGAACGGCTTTCACAGTCGGGAAGTTCTTCCTCATATTCAGATGGAATCTCCTCTCTTGTAGTTTGAAGCCATCGTTCCGCGTCCTAGTCTCCAGGAACTTAATTTTAAGGCAATATTGTCTGCTCTGAAGAGACCAGGAAAGCATCCCTTAATTTAAGCTCAAAACTGACCAAGAAGCCATGAGGTCATCTCTTCTTCACCTGGGGTTCAAAGACTGTTTCTCATGGAGTCTTTCTGACCTTCTCATTAATCTTTCCTTGGCTCTTTCTGAGCAGAGACCTAATCTCATATCACGGGGTAACTCCCCATCCTTCCTCTGAAGGCCAAGAAGGCCATGAAGGCCAATTTTCAAGAGAAACGGAATCCCAAACACCCTCTATCTCTTCTGCAGCTGCTCTCTGATCTACGGCCTACATTTCTGTCTGTGTTTCAACCTGATCACATACAGACTCGGTGAAAAATCCATCATTCCCTTTATCCTCCGAGGCAGAATCCCCGGCATAATGCTGCTGAACCCCAACAAGAGCCTTCTCAGTGGCTGCTTCTCCCTTTGTTCTTTCTTTCTTTTTAAAATTGTATGCCTTTAAATATTTTGTTATGAAATCTGTGGTTTTAATATGATGGTTTCTAATTGTGTTTAATATTCTGTCGTTTAGGTTTTTGCTGATTCTGTTTGTGACCCACCTTGCGTCCAGTTTTGGGAGTAAGGTGGCATATCAAATAAGTAAGTATAAGTATGTAAATAAACAAATAAATGTCTACATCTCCCTTTCCTGCAACTAGACATATGTCAGTCATAGTTTTAGCATTTGGCAAGCTTGTACAGTTTACAATTTTGCCCAGTGTGGAAAAACTTATTGAACCACTTAGTATTATTCAAGAAATATGAATTTTCTCGTTAGTGTTTCATATTCAGATTATCCGTACAAAGAATAATATGTTTATGACTTGTCATGACTTCATTTCCCTTATAGGTTTCTGCAGGGAAAATGTTTATGTGGTTGTATAATGAAGATAATGCATTTATTCATTGATTATTTATTTATTTACTATATTTATATACCGCCTTTCTCAGCCCGAATGCGACTCAAGGTGGTTTACAGTCGGCAATCAATGCCCCCAACAACATAAAATATAATTACAAATATTATCATATAATACAGGCCATATAAATAATTTGTTATTTATGAGAGATATTTCAGTTTTCTGAAGGAAGCATGTAGAGCAAGCATGAGAAAACTTGGGCCCTCTGTCCAGGACTTCAACTCCCACAATTCCTAACAACCTCAGGCCCCTTCCTTTCCCAGTCAGCTTTACACACGAGGCGTTCAACCTGGGACTTCCTCTCATCGAAGTTTCTCACACCAGGCCTTCTCAAACTGAGGCCTACTAACACATTGAGGCCTTTCACCCACTGAGGCCTTCTCACACTGAGGGCTCTCTCAAAGTCAGGCCTTCTCCCACTAAGGTTTTTTTTTTTTGTCATGTCAGGAGTGACTTTTAGTGAGAGAGAATTGGCGTCTGAAAGGACGTTGCCCAGGGGACGCCTGGATGATTTGATGTTTTTATCATCCTTGTGGGAGGCTTCTCTCATGTCCCCACATGAGGAGCTGGAGCTGATAGAGGGAGCTCATCCGCCTCTCCTCGGATTCGAACCTGCAACCTGTCAGTCTTCAGTCCTGCCGGCACAGGGGTTTAACCCACTGCGCCACCGGGGGCTCTTCCCACTGAGGTGAACTAACACTGAGGCCCTTATCATAGTGAGACCTACTAACACACTGAGGCCCTTCTCCCACAGAGACCTCTCTTAGACTGAGGCGAACTAAAACTGAAGGTTCCCTCAGACTGAGGGCTACTAAGCTATAGTTACACCTGCTTATAAAAAGGACGGGGAAAAGGAAAGGGCCTGAGGCTGTTAGGAATTGTGGGAGCTGAAGTCCAAAACACCTGCAGGACCCAAGTTTGCCTATGCCTGATGTAGAGTAAGGTACAGGCTAACATCTTCTCCTTCTCCTTCATAGTATCGTGGGCTGTTATCTCCATCACCATAACTAGAGGTCTACCAGCTGTTGGGGAATGCAAACAGGATAATGGGATTGGGATTTGGGGCCAATGGGATTTGGGGCTGCATCCAAAGATCGAGGGAAGTCATGGCGTCTTTGTAATCTGCTTTGGTTAGATCGCTTTACCTGGAATACTGTGTCCAATTCTGGGCAAAGCAAATCAGATGTTGACTCTAAGCTGGAAGGTGTCCAGAGGAAGAGGGCAACTAAATGGATCAAAGGTCTGGAGACAAAATGGAATGGGGAAGTCCTGCTCCCCTTCTATTCTGCCTTGGTCAGGCCACGTTACCTGGAGTCACACTGTGTCCAGACTAGGTGGCCCATGTGGTCCCTTTCAACCTTCTAATTCTATGATAGTATTGTTCCTCCCATGTACTGCATGTGAACCTCCCATAGACACTGGGGTGCAAACAGAGTACTAGACTAGACAGATCCTTGGTCTGATTTAGCATGGCTCCTTCTATTTATTTAGGTAGAGGTAAAGGTTTTCCCCTGACATTAAGTCCAGTTGGGTCTGACTCTGGGAGTTAGTGCTCATCTCCATTTCTCAGCCAAAGAGCTGGCATTGTCCGTAGACACCTCCAAGGTCATATGGCCAGCATGACTGCAAGGAGCTTCGTTACCTTCCTGCTGGAGCTGTACCTATTGATCTACTCACATTTGCATGTTTTCAAACTGCTAGGTTGGCAGAAGCTGGGGCTAACAACGGGAGCTCATGCTGCTCCCCAGATTCGAATCTGCGGTGACCCCCAACCATAAAATTATTTTCATTGCTGTGTCATCACTGCAATTTTGCTACTGTTTTGAATCATAATGTAAATATCTGATATGCAGCAGGATGTATTTTCATTCACTGGACCAAATTTGGCACAAATACCCGATACGCCCAAATTTGAACACTGGTGGGGTTTGGGTACGGGAGGGGGATTGATTTTGTCATTTGGGAGTTGTAGTTGTTGGGATTTATAGTTAACCTACAATCAGAGAGAATTCTGAACTCCAGCAATGATGGAATTGAACCAAACTTGGCAAGCAGAACTCCCATGAGAAACAGACAATACTGGAAGGGTTTGATGGGCATTCACCTTGAGTTTTGGAGATGTAGTTCACCTACATCCAGAGAGCACTGTGGACCCAAACCATGATAGATCTGGAGCAAACTTGGCACAAATACTCAGTATGCCCAAATGTTAATACGGGTGGAGTTTGGGGAAGATAAACCTTGATATTTGGGAGTTGTATTTGCTGGGATTTATAGTTCACCTTGAATCAAAGAGCATTCTGAACCCCAATGATAGAATTGGGCCAAACTTCCCACACAGAACTCCCATGACCTGGAAAGGTTTGGTGGGCATTGACCTTGAGTTTGGGAGTTGTAGTTCACCTACATCCAGAGAGCACTGTGGACTCAAACAACGATGGATCTGGACCAAACTTGGTACAAATACTCAATATGCTCAATTGTGAACACTGGTGGAGTTTGGGGAAAATAGACCTTAACATTTGGGGGTTGTAGTTGCTGGGATCTATAGTTCACCTACAGTCAAAGAGCATTCTGAACCCCACCAACGATAGAATTGGGCCAAACTTCCCACACAGAACCCCCATGACCAACAGAGAATACTGTATTTTCTGATATTGTCTTTGGCAACCTCTCTGACTCCTCCAAGTGCCCTGACCCCTAGGTTTAGAAACATTGACCTAGGGACCTTTTGACACAGGTTTGTAGTAAATTGAAGCTTGGAAAGTGATTGAGATTACTAGTATGCCTACTGACTCTAGGTCAGTGTTTCTCAACCTGGGGATTGGGACCCCTGAGGGGGTCGCAAAGGGGTGTCAGAGGGGTCACCAAAGACCATCAGAAAACACAGTATTTTCTGATGGTCATGGGGATTCCATGTGGGAAGTTTGAGCCAATTCTATCGTTGGTGGAGTTCAGAATGTTCTTTGATTGTAATGAACTATAAATCCCAGCAACTACAACTCCCAAATGTCAAGATCTATTTTCCCCAGACTCCACCAGTGTTAACATTTGGGCATATTGAGTATTTGTGCCAAGTTTGGTCCAGATCCACCATTGCATGAGTCCACAGTGCTCTCTGGATATAGGTGAACTACAACTCCCAAACTCAAGTTCAATGCCCACCAAACCCTTCCAGTGTTTTCTGTTGGTCATGGGAGTTCTGTCTGCCATGTTTGGTTCAATTCCATCATTGGTGGAGTTCAGAATGCTCTTGGATTGTAGGTGAACTATAAATCCCAGAAACTACAACTCCCAAATTACAAAATCAATCCTCCCCCAACCACACTAGCATTTACATGTAGGTGCATTGAGTATTTGTGCCCAGTTTGGTCCAGTGAATGAAAATACATCTTGCATATCTGATATTTACATTATGATTTATAACAGTAGTAAAATGACTGTTATAAAGTAGCAACAAAAACAATGTTATGGTTGGGGGTCACCACCACATGAGGGACTGCATTAAGGGGTCACAGCATTAGGAAGGTTGAGAACCACTGCTCTATCTCATTCATCAGTGGGTCTGCCGTTGTCGAGACTAGCGATATGAATCAGGCCCACACAGGTATACGTAAAATATATTCCATTATCTTCCTAGAAGCAAGGTCGTGCTTGCCTTTCCCCAGCTCTGACTGTAGGTTCCATTAGCTTCCTACAGACGAGTTCCAGTGAGAAACGGCCGCATACTGGTCTGATTGTTCTTTCCTCAGCAACGGGATGGATGGTACAGGCAGCTGGCATTAAGTTGCTGAACATCTATCGCTTCGCCTGTGTTGAGAACAACCCCATCATTGTGCGCAGGAAATTGGATTTCCTACGTCTTCAGAAAAATCTCCGAATGAAATATGCATAAGGGGATGGATTCAATATTGTACCACGGCCACGGTATTCTTTTTTTAATATGATGCCTCATGCCTTTTGATGTGGACTTCCTAAAGGCATCTGCTTAACCCTTGGGACAAGCAGGATGCCGGCCCGTTCGTCTTATTTTCTATCCAAATTACGTTATTGCAAAATTGGTATTACAGATTAGGACATGGTAAAAAACTGAAAATGCTTGGAAAGCAAATCCGTCTTTTTTCAGGCTACACTTAGACGATCCCTCGTAGCTCAAGGATGATGGCCCTCCAAATGCAGTGTCTTAGCGGTGGATACATGCTGTGGAGCCCTATTCTTGATCCACATGCTCTTCCACAGTGGGTACATTGGTTTCCAGGTGGAAGGTGGTCCCGGTCAGGGTTGACTTGACATGCCTTCCTCCTCTTGGTATGTTTCTTCTTTTCACCCTCCATTTGTGAATTCTACAGCACTGCTGGTCACAGCTGACCTCTAACTGGAGCGCTCAAGGGCCAGGGCTTCCCCCGGTCAAAGCACTGGCACCTCTTAGACAGAGATCGCCGTGATGTGCTCCTCACAAGAGCCATGACAGGTGCTGATGACTGCTGGACCGACCACAGGCTAATCCGATCCACGATGGCTATCAAGATCGCCCCCAAGCGCAGACTCCAAGGAAGAAAGACAAGGTGCAAAATGAACACCCAAGCCCTTCAGGAGCCCTCCAGATGAGCCCATCTCCAAACAGCACTCTACCCACAGTACACCCCGAAAATGTTGAGGAACATTGGAACAAACTGAAGA